ATTTTCATTTGCGAAAATGTTGTTTGAAGTCCATAATTTGTTTCTTGTATATCTTAATCATAATCAAAGTTATCAATGTATTTTATTAATTATACACCATATATTATCAGATTATAATCATCTGATAAAACAATGGGAAAATAAATTGAGAAATATAGAGAAATAAAAAAAGAAAAATGATGTGTTATTTTGACTTAATTCTTATTTCGTGCACACAGAACGTTTAGACTTCAAATTTTTAGAGTATCCTACTAGATGCGTGCTTTAGCTAACGAGAAATTAAAAATACCGAATAAAAGAAATTATACAAACCTATCAATGTGTGAACTTTTTGTACTCGTATTTTCAACTAGAAAATACTGCTTTTCAAAAAAAATTTTTTGCCTAAATACGTACTACCCTTAGTAGTAAGAGCACACGAAATTTCAACTCGATTAGTCGAATAGTTACTGAAAGAAAAGGTACCGAAAGACGTGATTTTAAATTCATACGTCGAACCCAACTTTGCGAGTATTTTTCCCCCACTTATGATACCCTAAAAATTGTTTCAATTATAAATTCTGATTCCGAATAAAAAGATTTGTCAACCCAAAGAAACTCCCACTGCTCTCAAGATTCGAAGAGTTGAAACGTAACGAAAGGGTTACTAGAGAGACTAAACCCAGCAGGATAGGGTTAGTCATCCAACATCGATCATCGCGAGCCTGGTGCATTCGACATGTTTGCATGAATTAAACTCGCGAGGAAACGTAGTAGGGACAGAAGGTGGGATAAAGAAGGTAGTATCGTGCAGCCGGTTTCCCTAGTCCTGCCGTCCGACCATGACAAGCTGCCAGCCAGTGCGTACGAACAGTGCGTGGTATTGTGCGTGCCGCGTGTTCAAGCGTGCCAGTACGCGTGCACGCCCTTCGTCTGCGTGCAATCACGCTTCGCGTACAAGCTACGCTTTTTCCATGACATTTCGATGTTTGCGTCACCGTTGCTTTCCTCCTGTCGTCCCCCTGGAAGCTTAGCTTTTCAGATCGGACCTTAGTCGGCAATTAGAAGGAATATTACAAATTGCAGCGAACGGGTTAAAGGGGTTGAGGGTGAAACGAGAACGATCGATTTTTCTTCCACGAAGCCGTGCAAACTTGTTCAGCTGGTTGAGAAAAAATGAGAGAGCCTCCTTTTCTTCCCCAGCGACTGGTCTTTCAATTATCGCAGCATCACGGAAGAGCAAATCCGTTTCCTCTCTCGCATTGGCTAGGAAAAGCACAGCCTCCTTCCTTTTCTCATCGACTACCAGATTCTCCTGCTCTTTCTCTGGCGAACTCGAACCACCAGTTTCCAGACCGCCACGGCTCCAGGCAGCATCCTTGACCCAAAAACTAATATCCGAGGTGGAAAAAAGCGAGCGACCTGGGCGACGTCGAGGCGAACTCGTCGAAAGGTGCACAGGGTGTAACGAGAGCGTCTAGCAACGAGAGCATGCTCGATAACGAGACGAAAGATCGCGTTACAGCCACCTAACCCACCTAACATTCGAACCCGAGTATATATTTTTCTGCGTAGACCTCGGTGCGATTGAATTCGATGCAGTTTCTTGCACAATAATGCAACTCGTATATCGATTCGTGTTTCTTTCTTCCATAAAATCGCTTGGAAACATTTTTAATCGTTCGATTATATTAAATCCATGGCGTCGGTCATCGATAACCCTTAATGGCAATCAAGGTTCATGGCTCTTCGATGCCGTTCATCGAGTTCGATCGAGTATGCGAGTCGTGTTCGCAATCGCGTCCTCGTCGCCGGAAGTGGTAGCGGTCTCTTACAAAAGTACCGGAGTCGTACGAGGTTCTTTCTTCCTCCTTTGGCTCGCGTTCCTTCTGCTTTTCGTTTTTCTCCTTTTCGCCTTTGACGGGATCGTCCCTCGAATGACACTGACGATGGTAGCCATGGGTTGAAGGACGAACAGCGACGAAGATGCGTATCCAGTCGATGCACGATTCTTCTTTTTACCATCTTTCCCTTCTTATTTTCTCTTTTCGCAATGACTCGTTCGACGTATTTGGAAAAAAAATAAATTCGAAGTAGGCGTGCCAAGTGTCACGGTAGTTGCGACATCGTTTCACGGTGGACAAGAGAAAAATAATACAAGCGTATCCGAGCAATGGTAACACATTCTTCCAGTCGATCGTTAATCGTGTTGGCGTTTAATAACGTATCTAGAGTGGAATTAAATCGGTTTGCTGATCGCGTAGCTCGTTAGGAGAATTCCTAATACCTATTTACCGATCATTAAGGGCGTTCGTTGGCAGCTGGATGATTTTATTTTCCAGCAGGAAAGCTCACCGAGAAAGCGAGGGTGTGCGCCGTTCATGGGACACCTTGCGCTCTCGGCACGGCCAACCCCCCTGAAACGATATCTGCTATGGGGACGTTATCGATCGGGCAAACCCTCTGTTTCCACGGTTTCACGGCAGCCCTTATGCGACCTCTTACAACCCCATATATCCCGGCAACGATAACTTAACGTAGTTACAGTATTTTCTCTCCGCGATTCGTACCGTATCCTGTTTCAGCCGTACGAACGTTCTTCGTTCTCGATCAAAATTACGGTCAATGTTCCAATTAGGAAACGGACCTCGCTTTCGCTGCTTTTCCATTTTGCACGCCTGGTCGTTGACCGTCCACGCTTTGTATCGGCGATAGTAGCCGACGCGTTTCGTGACGAGACACGCCCAAACAACACCGGTACACGTTTCGTCGACGTGAATTTATGTAAAAGGCCGCGGAATGACCGCGGGCGTTTTGATTCAGACGATAGCGATCCTCGAAGATTCTTGAAATTCAGGAATTTCGAATTTCGGCTAATATTTCATACGGCTATGCGAACCTGGCATCCGACTTTGAAAAAGCGAATTTTTTTTACGGAAAATATTAGTATTTTGTTTGTAGTTGATTGTAGTAACAATAGTTTCGTTTGTAGCTTTATTAATTGATAAATAAAAAAAATTTTTAAAATGACTCACACCTGACATTGATATACCTCAAATTCGCTTGGGCCATGTTTTTTAGCATCGTTTATATAATAGTTTGTAGTTGCAAACTATAAGAGCGATGCTTTTTTGTTATAAAATTTGTACAAATTTAATTACATCTGTAATTAAAAAACACGGTCCAAGCGAATTTGAGATATCTCAATGTCAGGTGGGAGTCATTTTTTCAATTCTTTAAAATTTATTAATTGACAAAGCTACAAACGAAACTATTGTTACTACAATCAACTGCAAACAAAATACTATCATTTTCCGTAAAAAAAATTAGTTTTCTCAAAGTCGAGTGCCAGGTTCGCATAGCCGTTTCTTGCGATTTCAAACGATCGTTAGTTCATCCCTCTACAATAAAGCTACTCTTGCAATTAGATATAAAGAGTAATTCTATATAGAATGTTTTGTTGCATTTGAACATTATTCGTTCAGACAGTTTTCCCCGGAGCCGACTTGGCAGGCAAATTAACATGGAGATTACGAGGCGGACATTTTCCGCTCGTAGCACCGCATATACGTTCAGCTCTTTATAATTGTACGGACCGTCTTTCCGGAGTTATTGTCTTGCTAATATGCATAAGCGAACGGGCGCGCGATAAAAATGCAAACTCTTGCCTCGATCGACGGGATTTAATATTCCTCGTGTGTCTTGTTATTAGCTCGGAAGAAGGATTCAACGCGGACCGGTCGATCCGTGGCGCCTATCCGTCTGCATAATTGTATTTATGGTGAAAACGCGAGACGCGAACAATACTGACAACGGGGAAAACGCAGACAATAAGACCACGCCCAAACTCCGGCGAATGTCACCGAGAAGTTTGTTGAACGTCACCGCGAATCCATAGCATATCGCGTATGGTATCGATCCCTCGTGTTGCTTGGACCTCGACCTTGGTCCTTGGAACTGGTGTCGACCCTTCCTGAAACACCCTATACCTAACCTAACCCATCGCCATGGGTTAATAACCGCTTCGAGTATCATTTGAAATAGAAATATCTATTTGCGAGATAGAGTTCGAATCCTCGTTGTATGATATTCAGGTGTAAAGCACCTTAGGAAAACTTTTTATTCTCGAAGTCAATCTCTTTCGACATCAGGCGCATTCGATTGCACCAGTTCTTTAGAAAATATTTTATAATTTCATCGGACGCGATCCGGGAAACGATGACACAAAGCACGAACACAGGGGTTGCTATTTTCGTCTGCATCGTAGGAATACGAACGGGCCGACGCCCTTGCTCGACGATTATGCGATCGACCGTGTACCAATGGTTCCACGTTTTGCCTTCCACCCCCATGGACTCGTTCCCATTACCAGCGTGGGCGTGCACGAGGGAAACGGGACCGTTCCTCGATAAATAGCCGGCTTTCGAGCAATAACACTTGCAAATTATCCGGATAGAAAGATAACGAGCCACGGTTCGTTTCGGGAACAGTACCGGCTAACCTTGTTCACGATCGATTGGCAATTTCCGTTTCGATCCTGTAAACTCGACCTTGGAAATTGAATTTCCGACGAACCGGAAATCAGGAATTAACGCTTCGCTCTATATACAGATACCGTTTCTGGGACAGTTGGGAAAGTTCTTGTATTTGCAGGTGAATTGCCTCGTACAGTGTAACAAATAAAATTCGAACAAATGAGTATTTCGATCGATACACTGACAATGAGAGTTGGGAAAGTTTGAACGAGGGTGAAGTGTTGGTTAACCAGCTCCCGGAGGAATCGAAAACACACGGAGTGTAGTTATTGATCAGAAAGAAGGTTCGAAGGCAACAGGGATAGCAGCTAAGCCGCCCTTATCCTTCTCCTCGGTTCCGAGTCTGTACACGCACGTGACCGTCGCGCACCCCATTCATAAGAACCCCCCGACGAATTCGAACAGCACCCTAAAACAAGCGGAGTTCAGCTACGAGAATCTTGGCTACCCTCTCGAATTTATCGAAAACTTTCTTTCTTATTGTAGATCTCTCGAAGAATCGTTTCGCCGAATTACCGGAAGAGGTGACGGAATTTCCCTTCCTCGAGAAGCTACACCTCTACCACAATGCGATAAGAATAATACCGGAAACCGTGGCGATGCTTCAGTCACTCAACTACCTCGATCTTAGGTCGGTAACGAATGGAAGAACGTTAAACTCGTTCAGATCGTTGATGCGGGTCGTCGAAATTAACGAGCTTCCTACTATGTTTTCTTCGTAGTCGGAACCAATTGACGTCTCTACCTCGGGAGATATGCAGGCTACCGTTGCAAACGTTACTCGTCGCTCACAATAGGTTAGCGTCGTTGCCGGATGAATTGGGCAGAATGTCGGCGCTGGCCGAGCTGGACGCAGGCTGCAACGAAATCACGAATCTGCCACCACGGATGGGCGACCTCGCCAGGCTTAGGTCCCTGGACTTGAGGAGCAACATGCTCGTGCACCTGCCTATAGGTGGGTTCCTTTCTTGCTAACAAGGGAACTACCTAAGTGTTACACTCACTTATTAATGAAACTTTGCCAGCTTGTAGAGCTCGTCGAGCTGAACACGCCTATACCCCCTTTTGGGGGCAGACGGCTAATTGTTTAAAAAATATTAACAATTACAGTTAGTTACTCCTTACATTCCGAAGTATGACAAACTCACACATACAACTCGTAATCTAGAGATCCACGGTTCAAATCCTTGGTTCCCAACATTTTTTTTTTTTTTTTTAATGATAATTTGTCTCTTTTTGAATAACTATTACATAAAAATTATCAAAAAAGAAAAAAAAAATTTTTGGGAACTAAGGATTTGAACCGAGGACCTTCAGATTGCGAGTCATGGATCCGCTCCGTAGTTAAACACATGACTCGCAATCTAAAGGTCCTCGGTTCAAATCCTTGGTTCCCAATTTTTTTTTTTTTTTTTTTTAAATGATAATTTGTCTCTTTTTAAATAACTAAAATTCTATATAATTCTAAACTAAAATTCTATATTCTATTTTGACTAACTTTAATTATTAATATCTTTTAAACAATTAACCGTCTGCCCACAAAACGGGGTATAGGCGTGTTCAGCTCGACGAGCTCTACAAGCTGGCAAAGTTTCATTAATAAGTGAGTGTAACACTTGGGTAGTTCTCCGTATAAGTCATCCACGAGAATCGACTGAACGATTCTTTAATCCTTCCGCGACTAATTAAAACTGTTCCCCCGATAGAACTGACGTACCTGAGACTCGTGAAGCTGGATATCAGCGGCAACCGTATATCCGTGCTTCCGAACGAGATGAGGAAGATGAAGAGTCTGGTCGACTTTCGGCTGTCCGACAATCCTCTGACCTCGCCACCTGCCTCGGTGAGCTGAAGCTGCTCCACCTTCGGGGTTCTAACGAAACGTTCGATTACACAGGTAGATGTTGTTCGAATTGTTCGCAGTTATGCATTCGCGGGCGAACGCACATCTTCAAATACTTGGAGAGACAGGCGGCGAAACACGAGAGGGCGAGGGGGGGACGGGCGAGGAAAACGCCTCTGGATGTGAGAGGTCACGCGACATTGGACACGAGGGCCCATAGACGGCACAACGTGGACAGCGGTTACAGCACCAGCGACGGTCTCGACAAACGTTGGTCCCAAGAAATTCACAGCGCGGTTAGTTTCCTCCTCCTTCTTCTAGCCTTATCCTTTTCACTTCGCTTCGTTTACTTCTACTTTTCTTCCTGGCTCTACGGCAAGGTTTTCGGCTATGATGAAGACTTCGCGGATCCTTACCTGTAGATAAGTTTTCATCTCGAGTAGAAACCATTCCCTATCCACGAGAATTTCCATTCTTATTTTCTTCCAATCTCGGGGCTGGTCCGAACAGTTGTAAATCAGTGCAAAATAAATAAACGTTTTTGAAACGCACGCATCCGAGCAAGCACCCAAACCACACCGGTCGACGATTTCTCGTAGTACCTCCTGGTGGACACGTTTTTGCGCGCAGGTGCACGACGGTGAGATTCGGGGACTCTGGCGACAAGAATGCTCGCCCCTTTCGATTACCCTGCCACACGAGAACAGCGTGAACGGATCCTGCAGCGGAACGTCGACGCCTAGCACCATCTCACCTGGAGAACACGCGTCTCTCGAGGACGAGCTTGGAAAGGTAAGCTTTTCGCGAAGAAAACATTCGATAAATCGTCTTTCCCGCTTGGGATTCTAACCGAAGTGTAACGAAACGATCATCTCCAGACTCGCGTGTGATACAATTTCTATATTTAGCGAGTGAATAGAAGACCCTCGACAGCGATATCCGTGTTGTCGCGAGACAGCGACGAGCTTGGCCGTCGTTCAAGCCTCGTTGAATGACCTTAACCCATTGAAAGAACTCGCTGGCAACGGCTCTCGCGATTAACGCGCGAAGCATCCGACGCGACCCGACGCGTTCACCTTTCCCTCGAAAATCTATCTCCATTTTTTTTTCTTCTCTTTCCTTACGCAACTCTGTTGTTATCGTTATTGCCGCAGGCGATGATACTGCACGATCAGTTGGAAAAGAGGAGACTGGAGAGGAGCACCTCGGAGAACGGCGCCGACGTCAGAAGACCGATGACCTCTGGCCTCTATCACGCGTCAATTACGCCACCCGGGTAAGCGAGCTGTTAATAAACCGATGATAGAATCCACCGTGCACTTGCCTTCTTTGCGTGCTTACAAATACATTCATTATATCCCCCTCTGTTAATTGTTCCGTTCTCTTTCACAGTCCTTTAGAATCCGCTCACCTGAATCAAACGTCATCGATATCGACGAACACGCAATCGGTACAACCCATACAAACGTCCGCGGCGAATTCTACTTCCTTGTTGAACGGGGATGAAAAGAGGCCGCTGAATCACATTCAGACGTACAGGTATATTATTCTCTATAGATTGCGGTATCCGTGAATTCGATGTTTCATCGTTTCCTTACTTTCAGAGAGTACAAAGAGGCGTTGAGGCAACAGAGGGCCAACGAAGGGCCCAGCGTGTACAGGCCTCGAGAACAGGTTACACCGCCAGGCAACGAATCGCAGAACAACGAGACCGATCCGCAGATCAACAAGGACGCCGTCGGTCTGACCGGCAAGCAAATCTTCAACGAAGAGAACGCGAACAAGAGACCGGTACAGAAAGTAACTCCCTCGCGTATCAATTATCAAAACACGCCCATCATCAATGGTAGTAATAACGAGTACAACAACAAGAACGGCAAGTACTTGGAGCAGCCGTACAAGAAGCCCAGCTCGCCGATCAAAACTTCCACCAGCATTCTGTCGTCGAGTACCAGTCCCGGGCACGCGCCTAGACTAGTCAAGACTGCCGTCGGTTACGTGGATGGTAAACATTCATTGAATTGCCAGTGATTCTACTATATTTGGTATTTTTTAAATACGCTGTTTTCGTTAGGTAACAAGAGCCCTAGTAAAAATGGTGGGAGTCCAAAGTCACCCAGGTCGGTTACTTGGAACAGCAACGTGCCAGAGAAGTACTCGTTCACCATGAGAAGAGAATTCGAACGCGCCAAGGAGGAAGCTGATTTAATTGAACAGCTTCGAAACGTGAGTATCCGGTGTTTGAGTTGTAACACGAAGTCGCTGCTAAACTCGGAGTATCATTTCAGCATATAGAAACAAGGTTGAAGATGGCTCTTCCGGAGGACCTCGCCCCCGCGTTAACTGACGGAGTCGTTTTGTGCCATCTGGCGAATCATGTGAGACCTCGATCGGTAGCAAGTATCCACGTTCCTTCGCCAGCTGTTGTGAGTGTCTTTTATTTTTTATATCTCATTTGATTCCTTTCAAATGAATCTAGAAATAAAGTTTGATGTTCTTAATTGATAGCCCAAGTTGACGATGGCAAGATGCAGGCGTAACGTGGACAACTTTCTCGAGGCGTGTCGAAAGATTGGCGTCGATGAGGTAAGAAGATATGCACTATTACATCCTGTTATTATTTCTTTTTAGAGAGCCTTCGTGCTTTGTCTCTCAATCGAGCGTGAACGCTTCGACGTGAAAGAACATTACGTTTTCCTCTTCTGTTTTTGAACCGTACTCGGTATAGACTTTTGCGAACGTTCGTGCTCGTTCGTCGTTGAACTCGAAATGATTCGAGATGAAAAATGGGAAATGATAAATCTGTGTACGATCGACGACAAAACGACAGAATTGTGACTAACGCTTCGTCGGCAGCCGGTACGTTTGTCCATGACGTTTCCAACAACTACTAGTCAGTCCCCGATTTCGATTCAGTCGCGAGGGTGATCGTCCTTTTTTACATTCTTCTTGCGAACCGTAGGAATGGAGCGAAGAGGAGCTTTAGTTGCATGCGCCTAGATTCGTGTCTGCTTTTGTGTCGCTCGTTGCTTCGTCTGAACGTGTTCGTCCCTTTTCTCCCCTCCAATAATATCCTGATCGTGCTCTGCTCTTTTCAAATTTTTCGCCACCAGTTCTAAGCTTTTCACGAACTCTCCCCGTTTGCTACCCGAAAAAATCAAATACTACATAACGTTTCAGCTCATTTCCACGATCCCAAGATCCCACGTTTAGTCGGGTTAAACGTTCGCGTCGAAGATCACACGTAGCTTATCGTCGAGGAAGGTGTGGCGATGGTGTGCTTTAAAGGGGAAAGCGGGCGGCACAAAACGTGTTCAGAACAAGCAACGACGGTGGTAGAGACTTGGGACTGAGTAGTATCGTTGTTGGTGTTGCAGGAGGTGTTAATGGACGCGGACGCAATCATGGACGTGGGTTACATGGACGCGTACGGGCTGGAGGCTCTGGCGCGTCTCGTCTCCGCTCTCCTCCTTTTCCGTGACGAAGGAGAGAAAGATAACGAAGAATCGGCCCCAGGTTCATCCAATACGATTCAGGATCGCGTTTTGTCCGCGATGCTTTTCGCCACATTCCTAACGTCCCTCGTTCTACTCTATCTATTCCCCGTTCCCGATTGAAATGAGCGACCAAGACGAGAACGCACCAGAGTGCGATACGATGGGGACGAACGACGCTCGCAACAGAAAAAACACCATCGAAGATCAGATAACCACGATACACGAGGATCGATCAAATATGAATTCAGATACATTTATTACTACCCGTAGTGTCCATTAACATCTATGCATTTTACCATTTAATCGGCGATTTAACGAGGGCGTAGAAATTCCATTTCTTGAAAATTATTTGATCGATCCTCCTACTCGAAGAGCACGTATTCTCTCACCTTTGCCGATTAGCGTTCGATCACTGATCGGTGATGCTGGCCGAGTCGTCGAGTCGCTCGATTGAAAAATAGAAAACTGCGCGACGCTCTTCTCGCGCTCTCGTACGCCATTTAGTACTTCTAGAGCGGCACGATATTTTTTACAAAGTTCCTTTTGTTTTTTCCTTTCTGATCGCATTCTGCTTTGTCGAGTGTCGCGCAGCGTCGTGCCATTCGTGCTGAGAATCATCGTGTCGTTTTTGAGTAAATCTTAAAAGACACGATTTCATTTTTATTTAAGTAATTCAGCAAGTCATTCAGACGAGGCTTCTTTGAGCTAACGCAGTTTTGTTTAGACGTTTTTCTTTCCAGTAAAATATATCGTTTCGTACCCTCGATGATCGTTCGCATCGAGTTAACCGTTATCAAAAGCATCTGAATAGTTCCTTTTCATTTTTATTCCTTCGTTGGAAAAATGAAGATACTTTGGAATTTATTTAACCCTTTGGATAAGCGTTTCTTCGTAAGCTACAGATGAGCTTTGCTTATACACTCGCGTGCATAGATGGTTGCGTTTAATTAAAAAAATTACAGGGGAAGAAAATGGTTCCTCAGAGAAAAATCATCTATGCACGTTCAATGATTTGACTAGAACACGGCTGTAGCTTTATAACAGGGTTGTTCGTTTCTCTGGCTCTATATTTATAGCGCTTCTAGGTTTCTCTTTTCGCGCGGTAGCCCGAAAGAAACGCTTGAAAGCCAGCGAACAAAAGTATTCGTATAGTGTTTAAGAAGTATCAGAAGGCAGCTTGGTCGTACATTTTAGTCCGCTTAGTCCGTAGGAATCGCTACGTAGTTTGTCATGTAAGTTAATCGAGCGTTTTCCGTTCTTTTTCCCTGTTTTTCTATCGTATTTATCCGAGAACTCGAGGAAACTTAGCTCGCCTCGAGTTTCCGATTGTTCTCGCGCGACGCAAGAGAACGCGAAATCAAATAGGCGTAATCAAAGCACGCTCGCATATCAAAAATCGAATCGCCTTTGTATTGTACGTACTTTGAATCGTTCGTTCGAATCGCTAAATAGTTATGATCGGAGCGAATCTGTCGAAGAAATAGTATTTTACTACCGCAAATGGATGGTGGTTGAAGTCGAGAGAGTTGGTGTCCAATATTCGTTCGAGAAAGTACACTGCCATTATCGTCGACTACTGTTTTTAAGTTCAACGAAAATTTCTTAACAGGGATACTAATTCGACAGAGTATAGGATATTCTTTTTCTGTTAATTCAATTTTGTTGTTTCGAATTTTCTCGACTAGTATTGAGGCATCATCTAGTGTCGTAGATGGCGGAGTTCAAAACGAGATAAAAACAAAAGGAGAAAATGAATCATCGTGTAATACCTCGGATGGGTAGTATTTTTTTAACGTTCGACCAATGAAAATCGCCTACGGCTCTTTCAGGATTGATGGGTCTGTGATAGGTAGCCTTCGAGTACTTACAGGATTCGCAAACAAGGTGCTAGAAATCTCTTTCGTTTCAAAGATTTCCTATTTTGGTACGTAGCTATCGAACACGCACATTCGAACATCAAAGAGAACCTCGATTCGTATACAAGTACCTATATGAAATTTGTTTTTCCTGTTCTCACCAACAGTATTGCGTGTCCCTTCCTGACGAAACTGCGGCAGACGATCAAACGAATTTTCTTTTTCCTTTTATTTCTATCTCACTTTCTATATCTCTCTATTTCTTGTACAAGATAAATAATAGTTTTCGTTAGGAGGGAACGAACACATAAAACGAGAGCACTGATACTTCACCGACCAAGCAATTCGGTCGTAGCCTAAGATAATCTACATATTTTCGTATAATCGCGATTCGAGAAGGAAACGCGTGTACTATACCCGCGTTGTATCGTTTAGAACTTAACTTATTCTACGCATGTATATTCGTACGATTTAAGGATCATTGCCTACATGATAAGGATTCGAGGAGGAACCGATTTTCGCTTCCAAATTTCGCTCCACATTTAAACACGACAAACTTTAAGATTCTTCCATAAATTCGTGGTATTTTTCTCTTCTCTTCTCCGAAAGCGTGCACGAATTTATGGGACCGTCTAATATTTTCTCCATGATAGTTCGGACGGTGCCAAACACGTCGCACATCGGATCGTTCTTCTAGGAACAATCGTTTAGAACGAAAAGATGTAGCGAACGTGGTCAAAATATACAATTTTCAGAATTGATTGAAAACGCACAAAGGAATTTTCACGGGATTCTATCGCTATCGGTTTACAATAGTTGCATAGAAATTTTTCTTCTATATACAATATAACACAATGTTGATTCTTTTTATAAAAAAGTTACTTTCACTCGTAACACAACCAACGAACAGAAATGGCTATACTCACGAGTACAATAACGCGCAAAGATTGAAAAGAATGCAAGGTGAATTTTCTCACTTCCAAGAACTTCAGTTCATTAGATTTCATTGTTGCATCGATCCGCGGCGAAAGGTTGATCAATTTCTAGTCCTCGTAAGGTTTAAGATCTTCTAGTCAACTGGAATTGTTTTCTCTACCCTTATTCTCCCCATTAATTTATTACAACGCATTTCGTGTACGACAGTGACTTAATTTTTCGCTTCTCTGTAATTACTCTTCCGTCTTGACGACGATAATTCGTTTGTCCTATCAACATCGTACCGTAAGTTTCTCTGACAAGTCTGAAAGACACTGAAACGTCGCGACGATCGCGTCAGTATTATTTTCTATTACGATCGTGCAAGACGTCTGGTCTAATTAACCCCTTGCCTTACGATTTTCAATACGTCTAATTGGAATCTTAATGAAAACTTGGCTATTCCATAGGTTCAGTTTGATTTGGGGCGATAATCTGGGACACGATGTTATAAGGCAACGGGTTCGTCGCAACCGTAAAGACTGTACTTTTGTTTTATTAATTTATCTTCTTATTCTAATGTCTTCTTGTGCTCTGCCGCAGCGTTTTTTCTTATTATTTTATCGGTTATCTCTTCTATAATAAACTGCGTTTATTTACACCTTGATTGTCAAAGTGAAAAGGAACATGTGTAGTCAGACACATTGAAATTCTAATTCATGGCAATCAATGTGTTAAAAGACGCAGGTATGAAGAAACCGAACATCAGATCATTCCGTTTTGTTTAGCTTATGTAATTGTATAATTTTTTTAACTAACATGAAAAGAAAGAGAAAAAGCGTATATATATATATAGATAGATTATATTATATTATATATATTATTATATTGTATTATATCATACTGTATTGTATGAACACAGATATATAATACGTTGAAGCTACAATTTCTCTTTGGTAGTTTTCTTTGTTTTATATTTTTGTTTTGAAAATTGTACGTAAGCTAATTTATCGCTAAATTAAGAGCTTTAAATCGATAGCTTTTTTCGAAACTCGGTGCTTCATTTTTATCGTATCTTGTTGTTTTCTAAGCTTAGAAAGAGAGAAACGCGTTTCGTTCATCAGGTGTCGAAAGTCAATCATTTTGAAAATTAAAATTTTCATTTTCTACGCCATTTGAACGATACTGCTGCTATTATCGATTGCTTTAAACATCGTACTTTGTAACATCGACTGTACGACTAATCTAGCGATTGTAATACTATTTCCACTGATAATAAAATATTCTTTTGGTAAAAATCATGGCACTATACGATGACGAGGGATTCCCAATGATACTAATTACCGTAGAACTTTAATTGAGAGAGAACATCGAATGCTCAATACCGCTGCGTTAATAACAATCAAATTAACGAAGCATGCACGTGTACCTATCATTTTCAGAATCTCGTGTGCTGTGCTAGCGACGTCCTGGAAGGAGGTCGAGGAGTTGTTCGAGTAGCGGTCACGGTATCAGAACTGCTGAGGTTCCATCAGTCACGCTCCCCGTTGCAGACCTCGTCCTCTTCGAACGTGCCGAATCACGTGCCAGCTTAGCGCCAGACAATATAATTACCACGATACACTTCGATTAAGAAAGAAACAAACGAACGCTGCCACGTTTTCCTCAGTGATAGTAGTAAAAAACAAATTGAGGAAGAATGGATCCGCGAGCAGCTTTCCTCTGTCGGAGGTCGCGAGTATACTGGCGTGCAAAGATGCCTTCGCTCGGTAGGGGAAGCGACGAGTCGAGCCGAATTGTGGCGAACTCGACCGAGCGCGTCGAGACGAATAGTGGGGGTCTGCGCTCGGTTAGAGAAAGCGACGGGGCGGGACGAATTGTGACGAACCCGACCGAGCGCGTCGAGACGAATAGTGGGGGTCAGCGCTCGGTTAGGGAAAGCGACGGGACGGGCCGAATTGTGCCGAACCCGACCGAGCGCGTCGAGACGAGTAGTGGGAGGTCTACGCTTCGCTTCATCCGAGGGAACCCATCTATGCACGCGACTGTACTAGTAGCTTCAAGCGTTTTGATGTGACTCTGTTTCGTGTACATCTTCGATTAATTTACCTTGCAAGAAGAAACGATCCGAAGCACGATAGAAGCCTCGTGCAAGAGTTAATCGAAGACACGATACAATTTTCTATTTACTATACGAGTTCAGGTATTTCGTGACGGTCAAGTCTTAGATCATGCGACTCGATTATATGTACCAAAACTTTTGTATCGGAAAGACAACGTATCTTTGTACGGAAAGAAAGAGTAGCGTAATGTAATTAGGTTAAAATCATAGCTGAGTTCGAATTGAAGAAGAGTGGCTACGTAGCGCGAACACGACGGTTATAAACAGTTAATAAATATCGGGGAGACTTTCTCGTGGCAATGAAAAAAGTTCCTACTCGCGTGTAACTGCTGTGGTTTTTTATTTCTTAGATGTAAGGTATACTTAGACGTACGATGTAAGAATCAAAACGCCTGTAAATCGGGCGATTCAGACTAGTTATTTCCTCTTTGCAATCGTTCAAAAGCATTATCTCCGTCAAGATAATTGTTTTTAACGATCGAGAGGTTAAAGCAACGTCAAACTTTTATTATTAGGTCACTTCATAAATCTTTAGGCTTGTTTTTAATATATTCCACTTGTCTATTGTTTAGAAATATCAATAAATGACTAATGAAATTAGTTTTTGTTTTAATAAATTTTAAATTAGCTGATTTATTAAAATGACTGTATTGATACCGCGTTCGATGATATTAAGATTTATGAAATGACCCGACACGATGTGTTCACACTTATAGGATTCTCGAACTTTTTTCGTTGTTCTGTCATCTAGGTTCAATCCTTACGAAATGTCTCCCGTATCTATTAACAGCCGTATATCTGTGCATTACAACTCTCTGTCCAACGAGACGAGTGAATAAACGTATACAAATGTGTTCGAAGCAAGCCTGACTCACAGTATAAACCTCGAAGAACTGAAAACAACTGTGCCTCCGGCCCTGCGTCGAGCGTATGAATTTGTAAACATTTATACGACTCGTCTCGTTGAACGGATTAAGTCACGGGGTGCTTCGATATCGTAACGCGAAACAATAATTGATCGACTAAAATCAAAAAATTTCTGCGTTCGATTGGAACGAAGCTGTCGAAATTCTTTCGACGTTCAAATATCCTGCAATTAATCTATTATATTCCCGTGTATTGATTATCGTAACATCGAGCATGCATGTGCCATCGAGAATCAAAATCTGTTGTTCGTTCGTTCCAAGATAATTCTAATAATTTTATTTCTCCTCTCGAAGGGAAGAAGATAAATTCCCGCTTTTAGTCTCGAAACGACGCGCGCTATCCGCAGCGGGCAAGATAGATTTCTACTCGAAATGATCAATAAGTTAGATATTTTAACAATTTTTCTTCATCTTTCACTTTCGAACGACGCGTATTCGGATATCGAGCTGTCTTTACCGTCGAATGATCGATTCCAAGTGTACTGCCAAGATTTAGTAATAATTCCCGAAACGATAACCCCGAATAGTTAGGTGCTAAGCGCAATATCGTTAATTGTAATTTTCTGTATCGTCGCGAATTTCGGTTTTCATTCTCCCACCCCCAATCCCCCTTTAACACTTTGACTGCCGTGTCTGCTTTGATTTATTTTTAACAGATATTTCATTCTTTCCGTTGGTTATACTTTCAAGTACTTAGCTAGATTACGTACGATCGGGTAAGTAAGAAAGTTCCTCGTGAAATACACGGATTGTGTGTGGCAGTCAATGTGTTAACCCTTTCGCTGCGAACGACATATATATACGTGCTCGAGAATTAATTGTTAATTATAAAGGGCATATTATAAACGGCCATCCATCGAGATGCCAAACGAATTGATATCGATCCACAATAGAAAGAAATCTTTTGTAAGAACATTCAAGTAAGCAGCAAGTCAATTATGTATCGAGTCTCAGCGGTAGATTTTAAGACTATAAAACTATAACGAAGGGAATGTTGCAGTGAAAGGGTTATGAAAGTGATCATGTAAAAAGGAAGACGAAGGATCTCATGCGTGGTGATCGGTGAGGAATCGAGCGTTTTATGTTTTCGGTGTCTCGTTGATCACAATTTTCTTTTCTTGAAAAATTGTTTTAGAAAAAAAAAAAGGTTAATTAACTAAATGGTTAATTCTGAGGAGGTCGATGAGACACCGATCCTGGAGGATCATACCGTATGTTCATATTTATGGTGCCAAAGATTGTATGCATTATTTTTTCTCTATCTCTCTAGATAAGCAACAGCATTTTGGAAATTCTTTTTTTAAAAATGACCATCCATTTCCCTTATGCAGATTGTAGCCGATCCAGACTACAATCTACACGAGGGGACAGTCTGGACCGAGTAGGGTGTCATTTATTTATCTTCTGTCACATTTATTTTATTCGATCAGCACTTCTTGTTTATAGGTATAGGCGAAATTTTGTAACGTTCGCTCAAAACATTGCGTTCGTGCATTTTCGAAAGGAAATTCGCTATTAGAACGACTGGCCATCGCTTGGAACGTCTCGATCGACATTTCTTTTCGCAGTATTAAGTAAACTATCCCACCGATGAGAAAAAGAATCTTTTAAAAATTGTCCTTAATTCTTTGTACTGGTATAATTAGCGCAAATCAATAAGGATACTTCCGAGAAATCCGCTAATGAGTTTATTACAAGGGCAAAGGGTTAACATACCGAAAATTTATGTTTATCGAAATCAGATCGACTCGTTTCAAACGCTTTGATCGCTCGATCGATACCTAAAATACACCGCACGTAATACATTTAAAGATTAACGGATACAGTGTATAAAATAAATCGAGAAGATCATCGTATATCTGAGTTTATCTTTCCTGAAATATCTAAACCCTCCCAAAGATTCCATATTTTGCCAAATCCAGAAAGTGGCACTCGTAATACTTCTTCGTATATCATGTTCCCCCGATACAAAATTTTGATTTCGATTTCGTAAAGTAATAAAAACTTAATATTCTTTAATTTTACTCGAAAATTAAAACTAAACGGAGAGGATCGTTCAAACGTTCCGTTGCTCAATTTCCATAAGCGGACTATCAAACGCAGCGATCTCAGCTGCAGGTCCGAGGATTCTCGTTCGAACAAGCCTGCCGATCGCGCGGAATCCACGCTCTCCACGGCGCGGATAGAAGCGGTGGAAACGACGTGGGTGGACCGCGATAGGCGGAGTTGTAAGCTCGAGAAAACTCCATTTTGTTCGAGGAAGGCGGTCTCTCGATGTTTCACCTTCCCCTCTACCAGGTGTTACCCACCTTGCCACACGATCTCCTCCAGGTGGAGGGAACTCGAACGCGAACATTGCCGAACAGGAGTTCGCGATACGCGTGTGCTCGCTGCTGTCCGCTTCTCGTCTCTCTACTTGTCGTCGCGTACCGCCTTTCTCACCTGTACCACTCAATCGTCGGCAGATTAATCGCAATCGTGTGAACAGTGCCGTATCACTCGAACAACCGTACCGATCGGTAAACCATGAAAAGTGACGTTTAAGTGAACTGTCAGCAATTGGAATGGAAGATTGCAATAATTGAGTGAACAAGGATGATAAATTAAAATGTGGCAGGTAACCACTGTTGATTTTTTAAGAAACTATGTATCAATCGTAGGAATCGAAGATGCTGCGATCGAGTGAAGAATCTTGAATAACTGACCTTTGCCAGTCCGTTAACCCTGAATTAAGATAGAAACTCGATCGAATTACTCTTATCAAAGACACTGCAACGATCCTAAGAGCAAGAAACGACTGATCAATGACACGGAATCAACGTTACGCCGGTAAATTCCTGGTGAAGTAACCTCGGCAAGTAAACAATAGAAAAACCGTCATCGAAGGATTATCCGCGGCTCGAACACAAGTTCATTGATATTTCCAAGTAACGCGACACAGGTCGATACGTAGACGAGTGTATCGATCGGTGTTAGTCGATCAGACGAGTATAAACCTCGCATTCGTTCAGTTTGCGATGATACGTGCCGCTGATAACGATAACGCGCGAGCATCGTCCGGTAGATCCGTGAAAGGACATCGACTAGCCAGTCGGACAAGCGAATCGATCGAACGAATCGCGTTGATCGATCGATACCAGTCGATCCGCGACTTAATTAAAAGTTACTTGAGAAAATTTCGCGGATAAACATCGGGTTTCCGGTGTGACGCGGCAACGAGACAACAACAGCCAGTTTCATTGAAAAGACC